AAAACCAGCATTCAGTTAGAGCTCTCTATGGCCCATGTCTTCTCACAAACACATGGCTGCCTCCATGTAGCATGGCACTGGGCTGTCCACTGGTAAATTGTGCTTTTTCATTTTCACATTTTCAGGAATGTAGTTCAGTAATGAGTGTATATTTATGCCATAATTCATATGCCAGTTCTCAAACAATATGAAAAGCAAATGTGAACCTTATCCTGAGATGCTGGAACTTTATGTTTATTTTCTTATTTAAACTCACAGTGACCCTGAGGTAGACATTGTTGTTATGTGCCATTGAGTCAGTTCCAACCCTTAGGGACCCTGTGTACATTGGAACCAAACACTCCCTGGTCCTGCACCATCCTCAGAATAGTTGCCAAATTTGAGCCCATTGTTGCATCCACTATACGAATCCATCTTTTTGTGAATCTTCTTCTTTTTTTTTTTTTTCCCCTGACTCTCACTTTACTCAGCATGATTTCCTTTTCCAGGGACTAGACCCTCCCAATAACATATCCAAAGTACATGAGATGAAGTCTCACCATCCTTGGTTCTAAAGAGTATGCTGGCAGTACTTCACCAAGACAGATTTGTTCATTCTTCTGGCAATCCATGGTATATTTAAGAGTCCTTGCCAACACCATAATTCAAAGGCATAAATTCTTCTTCGGTCCTCCTTATTCATTATCCAACTTTCAAATACCTATAATGCAATTGAAAATACCATGGCTTGGGTCAGATACACCTTAGTCCTCAAAGTGCTTTGCTCTTTAACACTTTTTTAGAGGTATTTTGCAGCAAATTTACCCAGTGCAATATATGATCTGATTTCTTGACTGCTGCTTCCATGGACATTGATTATGATTTGTCACTGAGGTAGACATTATTCTTCCCATTTTCCAAATAAGCACACCAAAACTCAGGTTATATTATTCTTCCTAAGGCATACCTCTAAGGGAGATCTGATGGCATAGCGCCTAAGGCATTTGACTGCTAACCAGAAGGCTGGTGGTTCAAACCCACCAGCCACTCCTCAGAAGGAAGACTGGGCAATCTACTTCCGTAGAGTTACCTCCTCGGAAACCGAAGGAGGGATCGCTATGAGTCGAATCGACTCGATGGCAGTGAGTTTGGTTTTTTTGAGACCCTCAGGAAGCATCACTCACATCAAGATATAACAACTTAAGGCATTCCAATAGACCTCCCTCAGTGCCCTTCTCAGTCATTTCCTCCATGAAGGGAGGCACTCTTACCCATATCACCATCAACTCATTTAGTCTCTTCTTTAAGTTCATATATGTTTACTCCTATTGTATCAAGGGGAGTCAGCTGCAGGGATCCCAGTGAGGAGAGGGCACTCAGGCATGCCCAAAGCAGCAGGGCAGGAGAGTGGGAGAAAGGGGATTAAAAGGCCTAGGAATCTGGACAGAGGAGGAGTGAGCTGCAGGGAGCCAGGTAAGGGTAGTAAGAGAGGTTTCCAACAGGGAGACAAACTTATCTGTTGGTTTGTCCTATGGTGGTGACATGTGGATATGAGTTTTGAGGCTGAGCCACTGGTGTTTCTAACCCAGCGGGATGCACATGGTGCACAGGTATCAGCCCAGCTTACAGACTGAGACAGACTAGGAAGAAGGAGGAGGCTGTCCACTTCTCAAAGAATTGGCCGGGGAAAACCTTATGAATAGCAAAGAAACACTGTTTGATACATTACCACACAATTTATGAATAGTCCGGTTAGGTTAGAAGGCTCTCAAAATAGGATGGGGAAGGAGCTGCATCATCTATCTGAGTAAACCTAGCCTTACTCCTATGGATAAGGTAAAGCTTTGGAGACATCCATTTGCTGATGTGGCACCACTCAAATTGAAGAGATACAGCTGCAGACATCCATTAATCATTGGAACATGGAATATACGAAGTATGAATCTAGGAAAATTGGAAGTAGTCAAAAATGAAATGGAACGCATAAAGATTGGTAACCTCAGCATTGTTGTTGTTGCTGTTAGATGCCGTTGAGTCATTTCCAACTCATAGCAACCCCATGCACAGCAGAACGAAACACTGGCAGATCCCACACCAGCTCCACGATCCCTGCTATACTTGAGCCCCTCATCACAGCCACCGTGTCAACCCATCTCGTTAAAGGCCTCCCCCTCTTTTGTCAACCCTCCATTCTACCAAGCATGACATCCTTCTCCAAGGAATGGTCCCTTGTGACAACATGACCAAAATAGGTGAGATGAAGTCTGGCCATTCTCACTTCCAAGGAGCATTTCGGGTGCACTTCCTCCAGGACAGATCTGTTAGTTCTTTTAGCAGTCCATGGCACTTTCAGCATTCTTCACCAACACCACAACACAAAAGCATAAAA